GAACATAAAGTACTTTGGCCACATAATGAGAAGACAGGAAAGCTTGGAGCAGTGTTTCTCAACCTTCCTAATGGCGTGACCCTTTAATACAGTTCCTCATGTTGTGGTGACCACCAACCATAAAATTATTTTTGTTACTAACTCATAACTGTAATGTTGCTACTGAATCGTAATGTAAATATCTGATATGCAGCTTGTGTGTGTGTGTCTTTCCCTGGAAGAGATTTGAACTGAAAGCAGGATGTATCTTCATTCACTTGAACAAATTTGACACAAATACCTGCTACGCTCAAATTTGAATACTGGTTGGCAGAGGGGGTGTCATTTGGGAGTTGCAGTTGCTGGAATTTGTAGTTAACCTACAATCAAAGGGCTTTCTGAACTTCAACAACAATGGAATTGAACCAAGTGAAATGTGACATAGTGATACAGTAAACCTTGCTGGTTCATGATCCTAAACTGGTGGGATTCCTTTTCATGTCAGGTTTAATAGTGACATCCTGTGGCTGGTGTCTGCAATTGCCTCCCCAAGGTTTGCCTTGAACATTGTTTCTGTCCTGGCTGCAGCCTGCAAAATTCATAGAATCATAGAATCAAAGAGTTGGAAGAGACCTCATGGGCCATCCAGTCCAACCCCCTGCCAAGAAGCAGGAATATTGCATTCAAATCACCCCTGACAGATGGCCATCCAGCCTCTGTTTAAAAGCTTCCAAAGAAGGAGCCTTCACCCCACTCCGGGGCAGAGAGTTCCACTGCTGAACGGCTCTCACAGTCAGGAAGTTCTTCCTCATGTTCAGATGGAATCTCCTCTCTTGTAGTTTGAAGCCATTGTTCGCGTCCTAGTCTCCAGGGAAGCAGAAAACAAGCTTGCTCCCTCCTCCCTGTGGCTTCCTCTCACATATTTATACATGGCTATCATATCTCATCTCAGCCTTCTCTTCTTCAGGCTAAACATGCCCAGCTCCTTAAGCCGCTCCTCATAGGGCTTGTTCTCCAGACCCTTGATCATTTTAGTCACCCTCCTCTGGACACATTCCAGCTTGTCAATATCTCTCTTGAATTGTGGTGCCCAGAATACTGGGGGGGTGGGGGGGGGGGGTGTTGGCTTTCAGTCTGCTGAGGTTAAATAGCTTGCCATCTGTCTGACAGATGATTTCCACTCCAGTGGGAAGCTTCCCATCAACAAGATTAAGTATCATAGCGATGAAGATGGAGAATAAAGTTGGGGCAATAACACATCCCTGTTTGACACCTGATTCCACCTTAAATGGGTCACTTTGGGAGCCATTGCTGTCCAAGACTGTTGCCATCATGTCATCATGGAGGAGCCGCAGGATGTTCACAAATTTGTTAGTTTTTTGGAGGATGGTCCAGAGGGCGCTGTGATTCACTGTGTCGAATGCCTTTGCAAGGTCAATGAATGCCATGTACAGAGGTTGATTTTGTTCCCTGCATTTTTCTTGGAGCTGTCATGCAGTGAAGATCATGTCCACTGTTCCTCTGGAGGGGGGAAGCCGTTCTGGGATTCTGGGAGGGTGTCTTCTGAGAGGGGCAGAAGGCAGTTTGCAAGGATTCTTGTGAGGATTTTCCCAGCAGAGGTTAGAAGGGAGATACCTCGATAGTTTCCGCAGTCTGTTCTTTCCCCCTTTTTGAAGAGGGTGATGATGGTGGTATCCTTGAAATCTGCTAGGATTTTCTCGGTCACCCACACTGGGATTTTCTCGGTCCCACTTTGGCGGGAAGGTAACAGTGCTCCATGCAGTCATGCTGGCCACATGACCTATGGATAATGCCGGCTCTTCGGCTTAGAAATTGAGATGAGCACCACGTCCCAGAGTTAGACACGACTAAACTTAATGTCAGGGGAAAACTTTACCTTTCCCTTTTATAACAATTCTGCAAATCTTAGAAGGCATAAAATGCTGCAAGCCTATTCCTCTTCCTTTTGTTCCACGGACTGAAGCACAGCGGGTTAAACCTCCAGCTGCAGAAAATCTTGCTGATCGAAAGGTCGACAGTAAAAGCCTGGGTTGGGGTGAGCTCCCAACCATCGGCCCAGCTTCTGCTTACCTAGCAGTTCAAAAACAGCAATGTGAGTAGATAAATAGGCACCACTTTGACGGGGATGTAATGAAAGGTGCCCATGCGGACATGCTGGCAATTCGATTGGGAGAACGTCTAAGGACAGCAAAACTTCTCGGCATGGAAGATTGAGCAACAGCACCCCCCTGTGGCCAGAGTTGAGCACAGCCTCCAGATTCCGGAGATGGAAAAAGATGGGAATCCTTTACCTCTGTTTATGTACTGTCTGTCTTTGTTAATTGTATAATGGCATTGAATGTTTGCCATGTATGTGCACTGTAATCTTCCCTGATTCCCCTCGGGGAGATAGGGCAGAATATAAATGAAGTATATTTAACTTAGCCTCAATGCTTTTCTTATCCACTTTTTTTCTCCTTTCAGCTCTATCATGCTTTGAACAAGAGAATCAAGACAAAACAGGGCTTTTGTCCTCTACAGATTGGAGTTTCATATTTTTTTCTGATTCCATTATTTTTGTGCAGAGGATGACATTGAAGATTGTAGTCCTGCGGGATTTATTCTGGCAAACTTCTTAAGACACCAAATGGAAAATTCCACCTACAGGACCATTTTTTAAAAGTAACCTGACAGACTGGAATGCCTTCAAAACTTGCATTTACATCAAAGATGGGACACCTGTGACCTTCTGGATGCGGTTGTACTGAAACATCCATCAACCTGAATAGCACAGTCAATGGCAACAGTTTCATAGGTGATGTGCTGTTGTAGTAGAGCCTGTGAGTAACGTTGCAAACAGTAGTTTGGGTGCCAGAAGGGGGGAAAGGGTTACTCGGGAGCAGGAATCTGATGAGGAGCAGCAAAGGAAAAGGATCCGGGATATACTTATGGCACCTACAGATGAGGATTCATTTGAGGGGTTCTCTGGGGATGAAGGGTCAATGAGTGAGGAGGAAGAAGAAGTCATCATGGATTGGAATAGAGGAAGAAAGAGCATTACTTGGGAGCAGGAATCTGATGAGGAGCAGCAAAGGAAAAGGATCCAGGATATACTTACAGCGTCTATGTATGAGGAATCATTTGAGGGATTCTCTGGGGATGATGGGTCAGGGAGTGGAGGAGACGAAGGTGACAACTTGGATTGGACAAAGGTGAAGGAAGTACAAGCTGTTTGTGCAGAGCCAACATCTAGTGATACATTTGTGGGGTTCTCTGGGGGCGAAGATTGGTAATCGGGGAATACAACTGAGTCTTGGGGGGATCTAAGTCTTGACAGGAGATGGAGAAGGTGGAGGGATGGAAGTAGGAATTCACGTGAAGGGTTGAGAGCAGCTGCGAGGGATAATGATGGGGAGTGGTCAGTTCATCTTCTGATGATGATGTGTAGATAAAAGTGGGTTCAGGAATGAGGGAATTTTGCAGAAGGCAAGGTGTTGGTGAACGTTCGTGCATTGGGTACTATCTGGACTTGTCGCTGCCCGTTTCGTGTTCGACATTGGTTTGGGATCTGCAGGTTACTGTTCCTGATCGTGTGTGCTTTCGACTCGGATTGGATTCTCGTGAGTGTGGATTTCTCTCCTCCTGGACCTTGGACCGGCTTGACTGAGACGCTGCTTCTGTGGATACTGGAACTACGCTACTCCGGATTTCTCCTTCTACGACCCTGGACTTCAGCTGACTGCGCTTTTCTCAACTCTTTGTTAACCTGTTGCTTGCTGTGTCTTCTTGTTTGATTTGGAAACACTGCGTTTGATTCGGTTCTTTTATCTGGATAATCTGGATTATATTCCAGTTTACTTTTTGAACCAGGTCTGGTTAACTTTTGAGTTTTGTCCAGAGGCACTGCATTTAAGTGTCTCTGTGTTGCTTTTCTTTGCTGCAATAAACTTTGTTTGGAAACTAACTTTGAGTCTGGCCCTTTAAGGCGTCTGTGATTCCGACATGTGCACTTTAGAAAACAACAGAGATTTAAGAATTTCACTTTTATTCAAGCAATCGAAATGAAACTCCATTGAAATATGTGTTCCACAAATCAGGAGTCAAATAACATAATATTCTCAAATGGCAATATTTAAGGAATAATCCTCAACAAGATTGACTCATAATAAACAGTGAATACTATCTGCAAGGTCTTTCCCCCGTTTACCCAGAAACAAAATTTCAACTATCCATGTCAAAATAGATAAATAATATCTCATTTGTACTTTCCTGGGGAAATTGAAAGCATACTTGTACGTTCCCAGCAAGACCAAAATACATAGTTGGGAATATTTTCCCCCAAAGCACAAACTGTACCGCTACGGAGCCACATGTGCACACATGCTGAAAATGTGGATTAATATTTTCTTTAAAGTAGAAATATTCTGCCCACTGTATTTTAAGAATGTGAGACAGCTAAGAAAAGTTGTTATGGGTTGCTGTGAGTTTTCCGAACTGTATGGCCATGTTCCAGAAGCATTCTCTCCTGACCTTTCTCCCACATCTATGGCAGGCATCCTCAGAGGTTGAGGGGTCTATTGGAAACTAATTAAGTGAGGTTTATATATCTGTCTAGGGTGGGAGAAAGAAGTCTTGTCTGCTTGAGGTACGTGTGAATATTGCAGTTTGACACCTTGATTAGCATTTAATGGCTTGCAGTTTCAAACCAACAACCACCATGTCAGACTACACAGAGAAGACATTGAAATCCACAAGCATGTGGACAATTTCAACAGAAAGGAGGAAACCATGAAAATGAACAAAATCTGGCTACCAGGATTAAAAAACTCTAAAATTACAACAGCAAAACAACAGAGAGGAAACAACCAGGCACTTAACACCTCTCAAAAAAGATTTTCCCAGGCTCAGCCAGGCCTTCAAATGCTAATGAAGGTGGTCAGTTGAAACATTCACACCTAGCTCCAGCAGAGAAGAGCTCTTTGCCCCACCCCAGCCATTCCACAGATATATAAACCCATTGTCCTAATTCCAACAGACCTCACTACCTCTGAGGATGCTTGCCATAGATGCAGGCGAAACGTCAGGAGAAAATGCCTCTAGAACATGGCCCTATAGCCCGAAAAAACCCACAAGGACCTAGTGATTCCAGTGTTGAAAGCCTTCGACAACTCATTTTCCTAGTTTCCAACAAAGCTCACAACCTTTGAGGATGCCTGCCATAGATGCAGGCAAAACATCAAGAGAGAATGCTTCTGGAACATGACCGTACAGCCCGGAAAACCCACAACAACTCTAGTGATTCCGGCCATGAAAGCCTTCAACAATACATTATTGTTGTTGTTGGTACCTTAATCATTCTCTCTGTAGAAAGCATCAATTACATCGGACTTAAAATATACCACTGTGACTGTGATGTCATCCCTGTACATGCGCGCCAGGTCATCTGGAAGACTCAGCATTGCCATGAGCCTTTCCGGATCAATCTCCCCATACTCATTATTGCCAATTGCGTGGCGGATGAGATGGGTGGCCACGTTCTGGTCAGGAGAGTGGACATGCCGGGCTTTCCTCTGAAGAAGCAGGTTTTGCATGTAACCCAGATTGGCTGGTTTTTTGAAAGCCGCCTGTCTTTTCTGGACATCCCCATGAACTAGATGGTCTCCAACAAGCTTGACCACTTCTTCATTACTCAACATGTCCCACAGACCATCTGATGCAATAACTAAAAATTTATCCTGCCTTCTGAGTTTGTGGTAAGTGATTTCTGGCTCTGCAGTTAAATAGGGAGGTGTGTGACAATTGGGAAGCACATAGTCATAAATGTTCAGAGCCTCCATGTCGCAACCGTTTCCTAACACACTCTGATGCAGATCTTGGCTCCACTTGAACTGGACATCTCCAAACGCCCTTGAAGGCAAGAGGACTCCCAGTAACCTGTTGTTCACAATCACTGTGCCATCTTCAGATGGCGGGTGCTCCCTTTTCAACCTTAACATTTCCAGTTTGTTGAAGCAGTTGTGATCTCGCGTCAGAGGAAGAGCAGACCACGTCCCATCTTTGTTTTGAACTCCTAGGACTGCTCTGCTGTCACCAGTATTGGCAATGTGCAAATGAACACTATCCACGTGAGCCAAACAGGCTGTTGCACCTGAAAAAGCCACCTGGAGAGCAATGTTTTTGATCAATTCATCTTCTGAGGGAGCCTGAGCCTCCAATGAAATATCTGAATCCAGCCTTTTAAAGGCGTGGATCAAGGCTTCTTCTATTGTAAGGCCTGGCTCCAGGTCCATGTTGAGTAAGGTTTGCCAATATATTCTGAGTCGTTCCAAGTACAGTGAGGCGACCTCTTGAAAGAAGCTGTCGTTTGGATGTTTGTGCCACTGCAGAATAGGCAGGATGGGTTTCATAGACTCCATGGCCAACTCCATTTCCTCTAGCTTCTTTTGAGACAGAAGGGAAACAGCAATATAGGAAAACAACCGTTCGCTAACTGCCTGAGCACAGGCATAACCTGCATGGCCATCAAAAACCCCAAACATCATTCCTCTGGTCTGTAGGCAGGTAGCTGCACTTCGGCGGTCTTCTGGTGGGCTGTTGGCAGCCAAGTGGTTGCTCTCAAATTGCAGGACCGAGCTTGGATTCTTCCCATCAAATTCAGGGATGGCATGGGACAGCTCGTTTGCCCTTAAAATGTCATTGATCTGGGACGGCGTCAGGTGGAAAGAGAAGTCTTCTTCTTCCGTCGAGGTGTGTCGGAAAGCTTTTCTCACAGTGACAACCTTGTTCTTGCTGCGTTTGCCACTTGCCAGGAAAGAAGAAAAGGGAGGGTTGGTAAACAAATTCCTCCGCGGTCCTGTACACTGACCTGAAATGCACCTGGAGTACAAAAGTCCTTTTCCATGCAAAGTGGAGAGCGTGCTTCTGGTCGAGGTGATAATCCAGGAGGAAACAATACTTGACATTGTCAGAAGAACTGTGCTTTGAAGGAGGTCAGTTCTGAAAGCCAAAAAAAAAAAAGCGTTTGTTAAATTGCTAAATGAGAAAACATGTAAAAATCCTTCAGGCATTCCTCACAGAACACCACTGATGGAAAACATCGATCTGTATCAAAATGCTACTGGGAAGGAAAAAGAAAGGCTTGTGTGGTTTAATTATATTTAGAATATACAGGAGCCAGCAATTCTACTGATAGTTCTAGTTAGAGGAGACCCACAGAATTAATGGGACTTACAGGCTGATTCACCAATGGAGCCACTCTGATGGAATTTCTATTAGGATCCAATTTATTTATTTTATTTATTTACTTTATTTGTATACCGCTGTTCTCAGCCCTTAGGCGACTCACAGCGGTTAACAACAGAACAGCAAAAATTCAAGGCTACAATAACACGGTATAAAAACAGTTAACATCCTAACACATATACAATAATATACAATTAACAACAATAGCCATTCACTAGCGTCTCATCACTAAAAACATGATCCAGATCCGTCATCCATTGTTCCATTCCTATGTTCATTACACTCATTGCACTGACTATTCGAACGCCGGCTCAAACAACCAGGTCTTCACTTTTTTGCGGAAAACCATTAATGATGGAGCTAGTCTAATATCCGTGGGAAGGGCGTTCCACAGCCGAGGGGCCACCACCGAGAAGGCCCTATCTCTTGTCCCCGCCAGCCGTAGTCCTCGTCCAACCCATAGTCCTGACCATTCATTCTCAAATAATTATAATAAAGTCTGTGAGCTAGTAACAATGTGTCCAGAGGAGGGCGACTAAAATGATCAAGGGTCTGGAGAACAAGCCCTATGAGGAGCGGCTTAAGGAGCTGGGCATGTTTAGCCTGAAGAAGAGAAGGCTGAGAGGAGATATGATAGCCATGTATAAATATGTGAGAGGAAGCCACAGGGAGGAGGGAGCAAGCTTGTTTTCTGCTTCCATGGAGACTAGGACGCGGAACAATGGCTTCAAATTACAAGAAAGGAGATTCCATCTGAACATGAGGAAGAACTTCCTGACTGTGAGAGCCTTCAGCAGTGGAACTCTCTGCCCATGAGTGTGGTGGAGGCTCCCCTTTGGAAGCTTTTAAACAGAGGCTGGATGGCCATCTGTCTGATTTGAATGCAATATTCCTGCTTCTTGGCAGGGGGTTGGACTGGATGGCCCATGAGGTCTCTTCCACTTTGATTCTATGATTCTATAAATGTATGTAAATGCTGTAATCTGCTCGGAGTCCCCTAGGGGAGAAGGGCAGAATATAAATAAAGTGTATTATTATTATTACTACTACTATAACTATTATTATTATTATTATTTAAAAACAAGTCACATGTTTTCAGAGGCACTATAATCAAATGCCAGCACAGTCAAGGTTGTTGTGGTTGTTGTTTGCTATCAAACAACTCCAACCTATAGTGGCTTGAGGAGCTCCAGTTATCAACACTCTGCTCACATCTTGCAAACTTAATTTAGTTTGAGTGTCTTTGTTTGGGCTCACTGTCGGATCTATGGATCATCTTTTTTCTACCCTTTTCAAACGAAATCCCACTCTTCTGTCTTGAGTCTACCCCTAATGACAATAAAGAACTGATGTTAAGTTTAAGCAGCATAGTTCAATAGACACAATCACGATAGATTCCTCTCACTTCCTCTTGTCTCACTCCCATTCTTAACTATGAGTCATATGTTTGTAAATCGGGGACTGCCTGTACTTATCATGTTGGAAATTATCATGTTGTTTAGGTTTTTTTGTCAGCAGTGAGCAACTACTGCCAAGCCAGGCTGTTCTACTTTTAAGAGCATGAATGTATCATATGCACACCTCGTGCTGTATATAATCAATATCTTGAGATATGCCAACACGCCACTTTCTTGAAAATTGTGTAACGCACTGTGCTGGTGCCTTTGATGTAATATCAGGAAGTGGCCAGTCTGCAGGGAATTAAATTGTCCAGGTATTCCGCAAAAAGGTGAAGACCGGGATGTTTGTGCAAGCGTTTGAGTAATTTAGTGCAATCTGGTAATGGAACATAGGAATGGAACAATGGACGACGAACCTGGACTACGCTTGGATGATGAGAAGATTGGGTACGGTTCTTTTTTGTAATAATTGTGCATTGTAATTGCTTATTGGTAATTTATGGATAATGTGTTAAGTCAATTGTTATATGTTGTATGGAACCACTGCTGTTTCTACTGTTTTTACTGTTTGTGAACCGCCGTGAGTCGCCTTCGGGCTTGAGATACAGCGGTATATAAGCAAAGTAAATAAATAAATAATAAATAAATAAATAAATAATTTGGCTCTCCAGGTGTTATGGACTTCAACTCCCACCATTCCTAACAGCCTCAGACCCTTTCCTTTTCCGCCTCTGCCGCTTAAGCCTAAGTTTGTCAATCCCCATTCTGCCATGCAGGAAAAGCAAAAAAACAACCCTTCTGACAGATGGCCATCCAGCCTCTGCTTAAAAGCGGCAAAAAAAAGCCAATGGGATTTTGGCCTGCATCAAAAGGAGCATAGTGTCTAGATCTAGGGAAGTAATGCTACCCCTCTATTCTGCTTTGGTTAGACCACACCTGGAATATTGTGTCCAATTCTGGGCACCACAATTCAAGAGAGATATTGACAAGCTGGAATGCGTCCAGAGGAGGGCGACTAAAATGATCAAGGGTCTGGAGAACAAGCCCTATGAGGAGCGGCTTAAGGAGCTGGGCATGTTTAGCCTGAAGAAGAGAAGGCTGAGAGGAGATATGATAGCCATGTATAAATATGTGAGAGGAAGCCACAGGGAGGAGGGAGCAAGCTTGTTTTCTGCTTCCTTGGAGACTAGGACACGGAACAACGGCTTCAAACTACAAGAGAGGAGATTCCATCTGAACATGAGGAAGAACTTCCTGACTGTGAGAGCCGTTCAGCAGTGGAACTCTCTGCCCCGGAGTGTGGTGGAGGCTCCTTCTTTGGAAGCTTTTAAACAGAGGCTGGATGGCCATCTGTCAGGGGTGATTTGAATGCAATATTCCTGCTTCTGGCAGGGGGTTGGACTGGATGGCCCATGAGGTCTCTTCCAACTCTTTGATTCTGTGATTCTATAAGCTTCCTCTTCCTTAGCCACTCAAAGGCAGGGAGTTCCACTGCTGAACAGTTCTCTCCTTCCCAATGTTCAATGGAATCTCCTTCATTGATACTTGAACCCATGGCTCCTTTGAGTCCCAGTCTCCAGGGCAGAAGTGAACAAAACCGTCCTGCTCCCTCTCCCTTGTGCCATCCTTTCCAATCTACCATTTCTTTAACCTCCTTCTAACTCAACAGAAGAGCAGGGTATGGATTTACCTGGTCCAAAAGTCCAAAGGATGGAGTCTCAATGGGGCTACAAAGCCCCTAAGATGCCTTGGAGCCTTTCCCCAGCCTTGGCTGTCAGGATCCGGCCTGGAAGTGACAGCAGGACTCACTCCACAACACACTGGAATCAGGAAACAGGAATCACTCCACAACACACTGGGCGGGTGGGAGGAGCCTTCAGGACCAGCAGTCCAGCTCCGCCCCTAGAACGCGCTGCGATTGGCTGGCGTGAGGGGCGTGAGCGCGTTGCTGCGAGCTCATTGGTGGCCGTGGGCGGAGTCCACCAGAGGCCCCGCCCACACACGGGCAGGGGTAAAGAGGGTGCGCTTGACGCCAGAGAAAGCAGCACTGTCCTAACTTCGGGTTCTCCATCATCTATATAAATAAAAATGTAATATTCGTTTGTGGGATTAACAGAACTCAAAAACCACTGGACTAATTGACACCAAATTTGGACACAAGACAGCTAACAACCCAATGTATGTGCTTCACTCAAAAAAAATTGGGAATTGTAGTTGCTGGGATTTATAGTTCACCTACAAAGTGCATTCTGAACCCTACCAATGATGGAACTGAACCAAACTTGGCACAAAGTTCTCCCATGACCAACAGAAAATACTGGAAGGGTTTGGTGGGCAGTGTCCTTAGGTTTTGGAGTTGTAGTTCCCCTACATCCAGAGATCATGGTGGACACAAACAATGATGGATCTGGACCAAACTCCCCCGGTGGCGCAGTGGGTTAAACCCCTGTGCTGGCAGGACTGGAGACCGACAGGTCACAGGATCGAATCCGGGGAGAGGCGGGTGAGCTCCCTCTATCAGCTCCAGCTTCTCATGCGGGGACATGAGAGAAGCCTCCCACAAGGAGGATAAAACATCAAAAAATCATCCTGGCGTCCCCTGGGCAACGGCCTTGCAGACGACCAATTCTCTCACACCAGAAGCGATTTGCAGTTTCTCAGGTCACCCCTGACACGAAAAAACAAACAAACCCCAAACTCTACAGGAATACTCAATATGCCCAAATGTGAACTCTGTTGGAGTTTGGAGAAAATAGAATCCTGACTTTTGGGAGCTGTAGTTGCTGGGATTTATAGTTCACCTACAATCACAGAGCATTCTGAAGCCCACCAACGATAGAACTGGGCCAAACCTACTACACAGAACCCCCATGTGGGCCACAGCAACATGTGGCAGGGAACGGCTAGTAGAATCATAGAGTGGAAGAGACCTCATGGGCCATCCAGTCCAACCCCATTCTGCCAAGAAGCAGGAAAATTGCATTCAAAGCACCCCTGACAGATGGCCATCCAGCCTCTGTTTAAAAACTTCCAAAGAAGGAGCCTCCACCACACTCCAGGGCAGAGAGTTCCACTGCTGAACGGCTCTCACAGTCAGGAAGTTCTTCCTCATGTTCAGATGGAATTTCCTTTCTTGTAGTTTGAAGCCATTGTTCGCGTCCTAGTCTCCAGGGAAGCAGAAAACAAGCTTGCTCCCTCCTCCCTGTGGCTTCCTCTCACATATTTATACATGGCTATCATGTCTCCTCTCAGCCTTCTCTTCTTCAGCTAAACATGCCCAGCTTTTTAAGCCGCTCCTCATAGGGCTGTTCTCCAGACCCTTGATCATTTGAGTCACCCTCCTCTGGACACATTCCAGCTTGTCAATATCTCTCTCACTTGTGGTGCCCAGAATTGGACACAATATTCCAGGTGTGGTCTAACCAGCGGAATAGAGGGGTAGCATGTTTCCCTGGATCTAGACACTAGGCTCCTATTGATGCAGGCCAAAATCCCATTGGCTTTTTTTGCCGCCACATCACATCGTTGGCTCATGTTTAACTTGTTGTCCACAAGGACTCCAAGATCTTTTCACATGTACTGCTCTCAAGACATGCATTCCCCATTCTGTCTCTTTGCATTTCATTTTTTCTCCCAAAGTGGAGTATCTTGCATTTGTCCCTGCTGAACTTCATTTTGTTTGTTTTGGCCCATCTCTCTAATCATTCCCAATCCAGGCCTCTGCCGACTTCGGAAGGAGCCAGTGAAGAAGGGTCCACACTGTCAAATTAATGTAGTTTGGCACTACTTGATCTGCCTTGGCTTCATGCTGTGGCATGGTTGGAGTGGTAATCTGCACTCTTTGGCAGAGAAGGCTAAAGACCATCTAAAACTATACCTCCCTTGATTCCATTGCGATTTCAGTGGTGTCAAACTGCATTACGTAATTTTACAGTGTAGATCAGGACTTTCCCAACTTTGTGTTGCCTGCCCGCTGTAGTGTGTAGGTGTGTGACTCAAACATCATGTGAAATGAGAAACACTTTGACAGTGTATGTCATTATCTTACAAATCATATATATTTTAATATCTGTGTATCATTTGTAAGATAAGGCAAATATCAACTGTCACAATATGGGTCACAGTGCATTCAGACGCTGTCACAATAAGACATTCAGACACAGCATTACAACTGTATGATCCTCACCTGAAAAGCCCAGGTATATATGGCTACAAACTCTTCTTAGAGAGAATTCGAGGACAAGAATAAGAGTGGGATCCATTCGATATGAATCTCAGAAATGTATCGCCTTAAACAGATAACAAAATGTTAAAGGAAGAAGGGCAGGATGGAAAAAAACCCAGCCTGTAATTTGTTACAAAGGACACTTGCAAGCTCTTACAGATTTCACAATGGGAATTTCCGTCTTCCATTTCTTCCTTCCTTGTTTTGCCTTTGCCCCCTTCAACTGCTAGTCTTATGAAACAGTAGATCCAAAGGTCAGCCATTACTTTGTTATATTTTATAGACCCTAATAAAGTGCTACTGTAATAATAATAATAATAGTAATAATAATAATAACACTTTATTTGTACCCTGCTACCATCTCCCCAAGGGACTCGGTGCGGCTTACATGAGGCCGAGCCCGAACACAACAATACAAGCAATAATCACAACAATACAAGTGAAAAGAAGCAGGGAAGCTGGGGGATGATTTATTGTTGCCACCAATTTGAAAGGAACCAGTATTCAGGAGATTTTACCCCAGTTCCCAATTTTAAAAAGACTTAGCCGATTTGCAGTGGAGGTTGCCGATTAGGAACCAGATTTACCATCAAGTTAGAAGGGAGGCTGTTCAATTGCACCTCCTCCTTTATTAAGAAAGTAATAACTTAGTAGTAATTACACTGTATATACTGTATATACTGTAGCGTGACTGGAGAGAAAAATGTAGATTTATTTGGTTACTTTTCCCTACGTTTCTGCCACCACGTGAGGTAAGTTGTAATATTGTGAGAAATGGCACTTTGTACACAGAATAGACGGAGCTGAGGCAATCTTCAAATAAAAGTTAACAATTTTATTAAGTACACAGCGTGTGGTTGCAAGACGTAACTTTTCCTTGTTGCACTTGGAATAATACTTGTAACTGTAACAGTTCATTCTTTCTAGTAACACAGTATCTTTCTGATGTAGAGCACTTGTTTCAGACAAAGTTTCCATACAGGGATGTTTCCCTTAGTTGATCCTCCCTAGATCAAATACTAAGTAAACTATTCTTTAGCCTCTCCTTAGACTAAAAGAATTCCAGCTATGTTTCACCATTCGGCTGCACTAGCCTGAGAAACTTCCAATAGCCAAACCCAGCTTTTCAAAGCCTCAAAGTTTTGCTTCACAAGTCACTCTGCCACCTTTCCTTTCCTTCTCTCCCAACTCCTAACTCCTCACTCCTCTGAACCTAACTCCTGATTCCTCTGAACCTAACTCCTGACTGCTCACTCCTCTAAACCTAAACCCTAACTGATTTTTAACTGTCGTTTTTTCAAACTCTCCCCTCTAAGCTCCTCCCACTTCCCTCTCTCCTGCATCGGTCTCCATGGCAACGCACATGGAGGACTCCTCTGACTTAGGCCGCTCCAGCATTACTGCAGCCAATCTAAACACAAATACAATTAAAATCATACAATTTATAATCAACTCCTGTACAACAAGTAATTAAAATAAAAACATAAACAGTAAACATATAACTTTATCAATAAGACAACACACAATTAAAAATTGTGGGAAGGCCAAATGTAAAAATTAAAATTGGAAATAGTGCTGAACATGGACGAAAAGGTGATAGTAGCGTTGGTGGAAAGACATACGAGCAGACCTTAAAAATGTAAAGTGCTTAGAGGGACAAAGTGCTATGGGATCGTTAATCTGGGAAGGCGCACTGTATTATTGCTTCTGAATTTATTTCCAGATGGATCCAAATGGGCACATGATCTTCACCCATTGGGCCTGTATTGTGATGCTTTGGTCCTTCAAGATCCCATCAGTCAGGACTGGCATGGCTAATTGTGCTGTCGCTCACTGAGCCTGTAATGATGTCTGTATACAGAATGCGTCTTCTGTATGCCCAACGGGACGCCGGGGTGCCTCAGCTGAAGGGTCCCTCAGGTTTCCCAACACAAAGTTTTAATAAGGCTCAAAATGAGTTCAACAAAGTTCTTTATTAGGGTTTTTAAATCTTCAAACAAATGAATTAAATGCTTTATAACCTTGAAAAACCGATAGCCTTTTCAATCTGCCAACAAGGGCAGGCAACTGGATAGTAAACTGTTTCTTCCTTCCTTGGGGAAATCTTCTGACCCCTCCATGGGCAATCTTTCTTTACCTTGCTAGCGTGAGGCCCCTACTCCCGGCTCCAAGCTACTTTATGAATGACCCGAGTGGTCCCTTACCAGACAAGGTTTCTGTAAATCTGCCAAACTGCAAGGTGTCCTTTAGATTTGCTCCACGAAGACCATAGGAACTGTCCTGTTGTCTCGGCAAAGGCCATGGAACTATCCCTTTCCCCCCCCCAGAGGAGCTGTGAGTACTGATGCCTTTTTGCAGATGGGATAGAGAAACCCACACATCCTGCTGTTAGGCTCCAAAAAAAAAAAAGGTGAAACTAACCAAAGGTCCTCCCTTGACTCCGAAACCCGGGAAAAAGGGCGGGTCTAAGGACTCCAACTCTAATTGCCAGGTTGCCGGCCCTATCCTTTCTCAAATAACCCAGGCATACAGAACCGCCATTACCCACTTTCTCTAATAACCCAGGCAGCGCCGGGTCCCCAAGCTAGTATATAATATAGAACACATTGGGGTCAAATACACAATGATAGAGCATGGAGCAATGGCTGTCTAAGCACTATGCTCCATCAAAAACAACAAAATCAAGCAGGTGATATTGTTGTGTGGAACGCTTTGTCCTTAGGGTGATGGTAGATTGGAAGTTGTTGCTTTCCACATGGCCAAATTCCAAAGATGTAATCACGAAACCATAGGTAGGGGAGAGGTGTTTGGGCGCACATGCTAAAGAAGCATTGTTCCAGGTCAATCATAAAGATGTTTGCACACTGTGTTTCCATGTGGGTGCCCAAGACAATTCCACTGAATTAGAGGTACATATTATTCCCAAAAGCAAGTAATTATAAGTACAAGGAGGTTGGGTTTGGTGGCTGGGTCAGCTGCGGCCTCGTTTACAATGGTGTAGTTGATGGCTTGTCATCCATTCTAATATGAGATGTTGGTGTATATAGGAAACCATATCCACAATGGCTTGGATGGTGTTCTCTAGGGGGCTGTGGATACTCTGCTCTTCTTGCCCATCACTCTGCCTTACATTTTGAATGACGCACGGACAATTCATCCCTTAAGAGGCTGAGGTGGACGGTAATTATTCACCATCTGGATTCTTTCATCTTCCTCAGTGGTAAACAGAAGAGTTCGAAATTTTTCCATCTGTGAAACAGTATTATTCAAATTAAATTCAAATTAAATAGCATTGTTGCCTAGAATATAAATCAGCGGTGGGGAGTGGATTTGAACCATGGATGATCCTGAGTGGTTATGATCTCTCAGCCTCCTTATTTCACAGGATTGTTTTATGTGAGACATTTAAAATAATGAGACATCCATTTCATACTAATGGTAACACTGCAGTTACTATGGAATGATGTATAGTCTTATTGTAATATTATTTGCAGGAGGTAAGAATTGCCCTACTTTTTAACAAATGCTTAATACTCAAAATATTAAATTCAATTGTTAGTCCTAAACGACTCCGGCCCAATTTACCTGTCCGAACGTATCCTCCCCTATGAGCCATCAAGATTACTAAGATCGTCTGGAGGGGCCCTGCTCTCGATCCCACTGGCCTCACAGGCGTGGCTGGTGGGGACGAGAGACAGGGCCTTCTTGGTGGTGGCCCCTCGACTCTGGAACTCCCTTCCACTGGAGATCAGAACTGCCCCTTTGATCTTAACGTTCAGGAAACAGGTGAAAACCTGGCTTTGGGGATTGGTATTCAACGAATGTGATATGGATGGATGACGACAAATAATGACTTTGATGATGACTGACCACTGTAATCATATGATTGTATTTTTGCTATTTTAATTGTTTCAATGTTTTAATGTTTTAGTGTGATTTAGAAATATGATTTTTAATGACGGTCTGTAATATTGATGTTGGAAACCGGCCCGAGTCCCTCGAATGGAGGTGAGAAGACCGGTATACAAAACTACCAAATAAATAAATAAATAGTCACAACTCCATTAGACCAAACTGAATCAATTGCTGATCAAGTTGATTCAATGGGCCCATTCTAGTTGGAGTAATAATTTCCGACAAGACTTTGACCATGTTTAGACTCCCTAATAATATATACGAGGACCTTTAGATTCTTTATTAGCACTTTATACTTCTGAGATCGAATACTGTTGTTTTATCTACCACAATTGTTGTATTTTATTGTTTTACCAGGGGGGTACTGTAAATTTATGATATTGTGTTGATTGCTTATTGTTTACTCATATGAGAGATTGTGGTGGGATATAAATAATAGTAATAATAATAAACTTTATTTGTACCCCGTTACCATCTCCTCAAGGGACTCGGTGCAGCTTACATGAGGCCAAGCCCAAAGTACATCAAACAAAATATCAATAAACACAACATCAGTAAACAATCAATAAAATACAAATCACATAAACAAAATCACATAAATCACTCAATAGTGACATAAACAATTTTAAAAATGGCCGGGCCAAATGTAATAGATTAAAATTGAAAATATGCTGATGTGAATAAGCTAAAATATAACTAGGATAGGATTTTTCAGAGAGAAATGAGGGAGCACAGTCCATCCTAAGTCAGTATTAAAGTGCATTGTGAGGACATATTGCTGAGAGTTCTTCTTATTCTGGGAAGGCACACTGGAACAACCACGTTTTCAGGCTCCTCCTAAAAACTGCCAACGCTGGGGCATGTCTAATGTACCTGGGAAGTGAGTTCCAGAGTCGGGGGGCCATCACCAAGAAGGCCTTCTCCCTTGTCCCCACCAATCGCGCCTGCGAGGGAAGCGGGAGCGCAATCAGGGCCTCTCTGGATGATCAAAGAGATCATGTGGGTTCGTACACAGAAATGCGGTCATGTAGATAGGCGGGTCCCAAACCATTCAGGGCTTTGTAGGTAAGAACCTGCACCTTGAATTGGGACCGGAAAATGAATGGCAGCCAGTGGAGCTCCTTAAACAGGGGGGTTGAATGCTCTCTGTAGGAAGCACCGGTTAGTAACCTGGCTGCCGCCCGTTGTACCAATTGAAATTTCCGGGCCATTTCCAAGGGCAGCCCCACATACAGTGCATTACAGTAATCCAATCTGGAGGTGACTAATGCATGGACACCCTGGCCATATCTGACTTCACGAGGTATGGTCGCAGCTGGCGCACAAGTCTTACTTCTGCGAAGGCCCTCCCAACCACTGCCGACGCCTGAGCTTCAAGCGTAAATGATGAGTCCAGGAGGACACCCAGACTGCCGACCTGTGACTACAAGTGATTGGCACCTCCCTTCCACTACCCAAAACTTAGGAGGTAAGGATACATTGAAGCATTGAATTGGAGGTCCTTAATTGTATTTTTTGTACAAATAATAATTGAAAAATACTCTTGGAACTGGAGGAATGCCTTCTCCCTCCACCCCCCTTCCTTAACATTTACCTGTTTGTCGGAAATTTGGACAACCTCTTTCAGTATAATCCATGTCACACTTTCATTAAGGGGAGGTGTTGTCAATGATCCTGGATAAGTCCAGTAATCTAGACAATGTGGCAGGAGGCAACTTGGGTTGAAGCACTTGAACTGGGCCGTGGTCCCCTAAGAAAAGGAAAAGCACAAATTGGAGTTAAGCATATAAATGAAATTGCTTTATACAGAACATTTTGGGAGCTACAAAATAATAATAATAATAATAATAATAATAATAATAATAATAATAATAATAATCTTTATTTGTACCCCTTTACCATCTCCCCAAGGGACTTAGTGCGGCTTGCATGAGGCCAAGCCCAGAATACATCAATAAACAAAACATCAATAACAAAACATCAGTAAAACAATCAATACAATACAAATCATATATATAACATGAACAAAAAATAAGCAATAAACAATCAACAGTGACATATAAAGATTAAAAACCAATGGCCGGGCCAAATGTAATAAATTAAAAATTAAAAAATAATGCTGATGTGAACAAGGTAGGATATAACTGGGATGGGACTTTCAGAGAGAAATGAGGAAACGCAGTCAATCCTTAATCTGTAGTAAAGTGCATTTTGAGGGCATATTGCTGAGAGTTTTCCTTATTCTGGGAAGGCACACTGGAACAACCACGTTTTCAGGCTCCTCCTAAAGATTGCCAGCGTTGGGGCATGTCTGATGCCCCTGGGAAGTGAGTTCCAGAGTCAGGGGGCCACCACCGAGAAGGCCAGAACCATCAACCATTCTTCTTGCAGAGTATGCAGTTCCACGTGCATCCATCTTGCCTACTCTACATTTTTGCTGAAACTTACCTTAAATTTGACCATGTATAAGGCATCTGTTAATCTGTTCATATCAGCATGTTCTTCTCCAATCTAAATGTTTAAAGGACAATGTTGATTTTGGGAAGTAGGATTTTTTAACGCTAACAGTTCAGATTGGTCAGCTTCCCCCAAATACAGTAGATGCTCTCCAGATATGCTAACTACACCTCCCAACATGGCAGATCCCTCATCAATGACCACTGGTTCCATCTTGTAACATCTTAAGGTGCATCTACACAGTAGGATGAATGAAGTTTGACACCACTTTGCCATGGTTTAATGTAGTTTCTCAACCTTCCTAATGCCGCGACCCCTTAATACAGTTCCTCATGTTTTGGTGACCCCCCAACCATAAAATTATTTTTGTTGCTACTTCATAACTGTCATTTTGCTACTGTTATGAATCGTAATATAAATATCTGATATGCAGGGTGTGTTTTCATTCACTGCACGAAATTTGGCACAAATAGCCAACATGCCCAAATTTGAATGCTGGTGGGGTGGGGGGTGGGATTGATTTTGTTATTTGGGAGTTGTAGCTGCTGGGATTTATAGTAATCCTACAAATAAAGAGCATTCTGAACTCCACCAACGAAGGAATTGAACCAAACTTGGCACACAGAACTCCCATGACCAACAGAAAATACTGGAAAGTTTTGGTGGGCATTGACCTTGAGTTTTGGAGTTGTAGTTCACCTAAATCCAAAGAGCACTGTGGAATCAAACAATGACGGATCTGTACCAAACTTGGTACGAACACTCAATATGCCCAAATGTGAACACTGGTGGAGTTTGGGGAAAATAGACCTTGACATTGGGAGTTGTCGTTGCTGGAATTTATAGTTCACCTACAATCAAAGAGCATTCTGAATCCCACCAACCATTGAATTGGGCCAAATTTCCAAACAGAACCCCTATGTCCAACAGAAAATACTGTGTTTTCTGATGGTCTTTTGCGACCCCTTTGACACCCTCTCGTGACCCACCCAGGGGTCCCGACCCCCAGGTTGAGAAACACTGGCTTAATGCTATGGAATCATGAGAGCAATACTTTTACATAGTCTTTAGCCTTCTCTGCCCAAGAGTTCTGATGTGGTAACACACTACAGCTCTCATAATTCTATAGCATTAGGCCATAGTAGTTAATGTGGAGTCAAGTCAAGTGCATTAATTCTACAATGTAAAGGTAAAGGTTTCTCCTTGACATTAAGTCTAGACTCTGCGAGTTGGTGCTCATCTCCATTTCTAAGATGAAGAGCTGGTGTTATCCGTAGACACCTCCAAGGTAATGTGGCCAGCATGACTGTGTGGAGAGCCATTACCTTTGTGCAGAAGCGGTACCTATTGATCTACCCACATTTGCATGTTTTTGAACTGCTAATTTAGCAGAATCTGGGGCTAACAATGGGAGCTCACCCCATCTGCGAATTCAAACCGCCGATCTTCCGATCAGCAAGTTCTGCAGCTTAGCAGTTTAATCCGCTGAGCCACCACAGCTCCAGTCTCCTATAAAACATGTAGGGAAACATTTAAACTTGTATTATATCCACCATTCTTTTTAAGGAGGAAGCTAAAATAAACATCTCTGGTAAGCATAATCATTTGTGTCCAGAGAATCTGCATTCCCTCATTGATCTATAACACTATATGTAATAAAATTTGAAATATTTTCTGTTTCTTGTTTAAAAGTTTTATTTTCTATTTAATTGTGTAGTCCTTGCTTCGAAGTAGTTGTTCTACTCCAGAAACTTCGTTCTTGTCGTTGCCACAAACTATGTTGACTCGATGGGGTATTCATTGAAAAACTATAGCACAGCGGTTCTCAACCTAGGGGTCGCGACCCCCAGGGGGGTCGGCTGGCCATTTTGGAGGGGTCGCGAGGCCGCCTCCATTGGCCTTGCCCCAAGGACGCATGAAAGGCCCTCTGCAGCTCCCCCACACCATGCAGGCAGGCTGGGGGGGAGCACAGAGCATCATCAAAGATATTTCAACTTTAAAATAAGTGCTTAACACTACTATATATCAATTGTTAAGTATAGCAGATGATGGGATTTGTAATATCTTCAACAGCATCATCTGTTGTCCATACTCCCCCAAACCTCTCCAGTATTTTCTGTTGGTCATGGGAGTTTAGTAAAATTCCATTGTTGGTGGAGTTCAAAATGCTCAAAGATTGTAGGTGAACTATAAATCTAAGCAGCTACAACTCACAAATGACAAAATCAATCCCCTGCAACTCCACCAGTGCTCAACTTTGAGTATATTGAGTATTTGTGCCAAATTTGGTTCAGATCCAGGGTTGTTTGGGTTCAGAGTGCTCTCCAAATGTAGGTGAACTACATCTCCGCTAACTCACTTTCAATTTCTCCCAAACCACTCCAGTATTTTTTTGTTGGTCATGGGAGTTCTGTATGCCAAGTTTGGTCCAGATCTGTCATTCATGGGGGTTTCGGCTGTGGAAATCAGAGCTGAATTGGTCGAAGGTACTGCAAATACCATCATCTGTTGTCCATACTCCGCCAAACATATTGCTTTTGTGACTAATCACTATGCATTAATTATGTTCAATTTATGACAATGAAATTTATGACATCCTACATATCGGATATTTACATGACAATTCATAGCAGTAGCAAAATTACAGTTATGAAATAGCAACAAAAATAATTTTATGGTTGGGGGTCACCACAACATGAGGAACTGTATTTAGGGGTCACGGCAGTAGAAAGGTTGAGAACCACTGCTATAGCAAAATAGTGCAGCTGGAAAAACACAAGGGCTTTGCAATATAATAAACTTTCCCCATGTTTTGATGATAGAACAAATTAGGAAATTACATTTAGAACCCAGGAAAAAATAATCATGTTACATAGTGCGATGAATATGAGCATATAAATCTTACCTCTAAGAAAACACCAACTACTACTAAGCCATCTGGGGCTGTCACTGCCTCTTCAAACTTCATATATTTGCTTGCATTCCAGTGAACTAAATGAAGCTGAGTAGGACAATCAGACATGATTATTTACAAGCAATTAGTGACAAGGTCCTGTGCTTTGTTTGACTAATGATGCTGTAACTGCATCAATGTATTTAATGTGTTGTCGAAGGCTTTCGTGGCCTGGAGCACTGGTTGCTGTGAGTTTTCCAGGCTGTATGGCTATGTTCCAGAAGCATTCTCTCCTGACGTTTCACCCACATCCATGGCAAGCATCCTCAGAGGTTGTGAGGTCTGTTGGAAACTAGGCAAGTGGAGTTTAGCCTGGCTGTGGTAGGTCCAGGGTGGGAGAAAGAACTCTTGTCTGTTGGAGGCAAGTGTGAAAGTTGCCATTGGCCACCTTGATTAGCACTGAATGGCCTTGTCCCTAACAGTTCAAAGAGATATATAGGTATATCAGTTAAGCAGCCGAGAAACCCAATTGCTTTGCATTAATGCTGGTGGATATTTATCACTAAGGAGAAGGTCGACTCAAGCAAGTTTTTAAACTCTTCCCAAATGGTAATGAATGCCTTTCCAAAAGGTTATGATCTCTAGCAAAGTCATACCTTCCCTGTGACCAGTGGTTTTGAAGTCGAACATGACCACCCACCCCCCATAAGAGATAGTAACTTATAGTTTTGCTAAGGACAAGGATATAAGGCTGGAAAATAGGGGTCAAGTCTTGGTCAATTTGCAAAGACACTAACAACAACAACAGGGACCCTTCCCATGTCCGACAGTGTGTACGTTTAATAGGCCCTATGTTTCATATATAGCAGAAGGTAACACATTTATTACTAAGAAACCACCTCCCTTTACACTTATGAACTTTCTTGAACTTTAATGGGACTTTCCCCCCCTTCTGAAGGACTCTTAGAAACTTTTTGGAAACTTTACCGTTTCAAGCCCCATGAACTTTTGGACTGTTTAAAACTTGTTCCACTCCCCAGCCCCATGGGCTCTCAAAATGGCTTTGTGAATTCCCAATGAACTTTGGTGGGTGGGGGGAAGGGGAAATGGGCTCTTTTTCTTTATATTAATGTACCCTCATATGATTCCCTTGCATGTTTCCCCTTCCCCATACCCCATATATAAAAATGTAGGAAACTGCCTTTTCGTGACCCCAGCAAGGCACCTCTTGGGAAATTCCTCCTATTTTCCTACTTAATTTTCTCCTGATTTAAGGTTTCCAACAGTAGCCCCTTGCATGATAATAGTCTAGCTAAGCCTTGGGCCTCGGAACAGGACCGCCCAAGGCACCCCATGGTGAACCCAGTCATTTCCCAACAATGGTACATCCTGTCCCTCGAAAAGATGTCCCAATCCACCTCATACATTGTCTTTTACCCCTTCGGCCAAAACTCCTCATTGATAACATTCACCTCCAGTATCAGTTATCATCAAGGCTGGCCAGCTGTGCCAGCCGCTTTTGTATATTTCATCACATCAGACAATACCCAGCCAGCTTGAGAAATCTTAGGATTATTGCCGGCCATTTGGACATATTGAGCCATTCTAATTCAATCATCTGGACATTCCCTTCATTTTTCTTCCCAAGGACGCCTCCTTTGCTCCCATTGGTCAAAAGCTTGAAGCAGCGCTGGCTTTCCAATGGGCTGGGGCCGGCTGCACCTCCTCTCCAGCTGATGACAATCCCCAATCAGAGAGAAGCCGGCTGAGGGGCGGGGGCGGGAAATTTGAACTTTGACAGCTCTGTTTTTCTATAAAAATGTACCAAAATGTACTGTTTGCATGTCTGCCTGACGAATGATTGCGGTATGACATCCTTTCTAGCTGGATCGCAATAAAACAACTCAGTGGCTTTGCTTCAACTTGGTGAGACCTTTTGTTGGGAAAAATCAGGGGAAAATATTGGGTGCTTCTTTCTGTCTCACCAGGGCAACGAACTGATTGGTCTCTGCCTCCTGGCAAAGACCCCTAAATTCTTGCTCAATATCAGTTTTCCAAAAGGTTATGAATCCCATTTTCCAAATAGTAAAGGCGATTCATATTTTTCAAAACATATCTGTTGAACTACAATTTCCAGTAGCTACAGCCAATAGGGCTGAATATAAGGGGTACTTATAATGATTCCCAGTCTAGGAACCTGCAAACCTTGGACTGGTGAGCGCTATTAAAATTGCTTTCAAAAAATCCCAAAACAAAACCATTTTGCATGAAACTCTGGCTCTGTAAATCTAGAGGAAGTATTCATAGGCACATGGTATGGGATTGTAGTATTAGCGTACTGTGGGTGAAGGTGTTTTTATTTTGTGCCAATGTATAAGACACCTAAGATTTATGACTCACTTCCATTGGAAAAGGTTTGCCATCAACGGTATGCTCTGATCCAGTGTCATGCTTTGACCCCCAGTGAAAATGGAACTGTTTCAACCTGTACGGAACTTCCAGTGGGCCCCCACTGACAACTGCAACAGAATACAAATGAGAAAGTGATATGGTTAACACGCAAGTGTCATCAGTTAGACATCCTTTGGGAGAAGTCCCATCAGATTGGAGGAGGGTCAATGTGGTCCCAATCTTCAAGAAGGGAAAAAAGGTTGACCCAAACAATTACCGTCTGGTCAGCCTCACGTTGATACCAGGCAAGATTCTGGAAAAGATTGTTAAGGAAGTAGTCTGCAAACACATAGAAACAAATGTGGTCATCACTAATAGTCAACACGGATTTATCAAAAACAAGTCATGCCAGACTAATCTTATCTCTTTTTTCAATAGAGTTACAAGCTGAATAGATGCGGGGAATGCCGTGGATGTAGCGTACCTGGATTTCAGTAAGGACTTCAAAAAGGTTGCCCATGACCTTCTAACTGTGCTAAGACACAAAAGAGACATGCACAAGAAGTGGAAAAAGGGAGAAATCACCAAAGAAGAATTCAAGCAAATAGCCAACTCCTGTAGGGAAAAGGTCCGCAAGGCTAAAGCACAAAATGAGCTCAGGCTTGCCAGGGACATTAAAAACAATAAAAAGGGCTTCTTTTCTTATGTCAGTAGAAAAAGGAAGAACAAGGAGGCGATAGGGCCTCTTCGAGGAGAAGGTGGGGCAATGCTGACAGGGGATAGGGAAAAGGCAGAACTACTTAATGCCTTCTTTGCCTCAGTCTTCTCACAAAAAGAAAGTCATCTTCAACCTCAGCAAGATGGAGTGGATGAGGGATTAGAGGACATCCAACCCCAAATTGGGAAACAAGTTGTCCAGGAATACCTGGCCGCTCTAAATGAGTTCAAGTCCCCAGAGCCAGATCAACTACACCCAAGAGTATTGAAGGAACTAGCGGAAGTCATTTCAGAACCATTGGCAATCATCTTTGAGAGTTCTTGGAGAACGGGAGAAGTTCCAGCAGATTGGAGGAGGGCCAATGTGGTCCCAATCTTCAAGAAGGGAAAAAAGGATGACCCAAACAACTACCGTCCGGTCAGCCTCACGTCGATACCAGGCAAGATTCTGGAAAAGATCGTTAAGGAAGTGGTCTGCAAACACTTAGAAACAAATGAGGTCATTGCTAATAGTCAACATGGATTTATCAAAAACAAGTCATGCCAGACTAATCTGATCTCTTTTTTCGATAGAGTTACAAGCTGGGTAGATGCGGGGAATGCCGTGGATGTAGCATACCTGGATTTCAGTAAGGCCTTCAACAAGGTCCCCCATGACCTTCTGGCAAACAAACTAGTCCAATGTGGGCTAGGCAAAACTACGGTTAGCTGGATCTGTAATTGGTTAAGCGAAAGAACCCAGAGGGTGCTAACCAATGCTTCCTCTTCATCCTGGGAAGAAGTGACAAGCGGAGTGCCATCAGCAAGGTTCTGTCCTGGGCCTGGTCCTGTCAACATCTTATTAATGACTTAGGTGAAGGCTTAGAAGGCAGGATCATCAAGATTGCAGCTGACACCAAATTGGGAGGGATAGCCAATACTCCAGAGGACAGGAGCAGGATTCAAAACGATCTTGACAGATTAGAGAGATGGGCCAAAACTAACAAAATGAAGTTCAACAGTGACAAATGCAAGATACTCCACTTAGGCAGAAAAAATGAAATGCAAAGATAAAGAATGGGGGACGCCTGGCTCGAGAGCAGTACGTGTGAAAAAGATCTTGGGGTCCTCGTGGACAACAAGTTAAACATGAGCCAACAATGTGATGCGGACAAAAAAAGCCAATGGGATTTTGGCCTGCATCAATAGGAGTCTAGTGTCTAGATCCAGGGAAGTCATGCTACCCCTCTATTCTGCCTTGGTTAGACCACATCTGGAATATTATGTCCAATTCTGGGCACCACAATTTAAGAAAGGTATTGACAAGCTGGAATGTGTCCAGAGGAGGGTGACTAAAATGATCAAGGGTCTGGAGAACAAGCCCTATGAGGAGTGGCTTAAAGAGCTGGGCATACTTAGCCTGAAGAAGAGAAGGCTGAGAGGAGACATGATAGCCATGCATAAATACGTGAGAGGAAATCATAGGGAGGAGGGAACAAGCTTGTTTTCTGCTTTTAAGAAGAGAATATTTTTAAGAATTTGCTTTTAAGAAGAGAATATTTTCCCAAGTGATGTTCATGCATACATACATATCCCTTTGTAATTTCATATATATTTTCTAATTCCTATTTCTAATATGGTTACATCCAATATATATTTTCCAATATATGTATTATGGATTTCCATCATGCCTTCATCACTGCAAGAGATCTTATAATGGGAAATCAATGTAGCAAGGTGTTGTGATTCAGCATGACTCTGAGTCTGAAGCTGAGCTGTTTGGGCCTTCTGAGTCTGACTTTGGGCCTTCTGAGCCTGATTTCCTGCAGGATGACGAGGAGGCTGATGGGTTACAGATTCCTGTACATGTTTCAGACGGGGCTGATAGTGTGGCTGCTGAAGGAGAAACAACAAGTCAGTTCCCCGGGGAAAGGAATGTTCCTGCAGTTAGAGAGACTGATAGCGAGAGTGAAATCCCACACGGCCAGGTGGAGGATCCGTCCCAGCTGGACCCAGATAAGGGGTTGCATAGCCTTGCAGATAATGAATTAATGAGCAGACAAGATCGTTTGCAATTAAGGCTTCGGAGAAGCACTCGCTTGGCCAGCAAGTGAGAAGCCAAAGGTGCCCAAGGTCAACGCAATGCTTTCATGTTCGCAAAGGGTATTTAGTCTTGTAGCTGACAGGCAGTTGTTGTCAGTCCAACATTGCTCTTCCCATGTTAACTTCTGGGGATTTTCCTTGGCTTTTCGCAGCACGCTTCTGGCTTCCTGAGTCTGGGATTTGGGTCTTGTTTTCAACTGTTTACCATGGACTTTTGTTTGACCATTGCTAAGGGATTATGCTTCATGTTTTTGCCTTTGGATCTTGGGAACTTTGCCTTTACATTTAAGTCTCTGTTTTGCCTATGGAACTATTGCATTTCTATTTCTTTGTTTTGATTTTGCTTTTCTCAATAAACTACAAAAACCTACAGCCTTGGTGTGGTGGTGTCTGGAGCAAGGTGAAAACTACCCTGAGTTACAACACAAGGCTAGTTTGCCTAATTTTGAAGAACCGGAAGTAAAGCTAATTTCCACTTAAAGCTGAGGAAGAGTGCAGAACACAATTAAGTTCAAAGCCTACAATGACCTAATTTGGACACTGACTCAAAACATCTATCCTAAATGTATTTCAAAGGCTTTCATGGTCGGAATCACAGGGTTGTTGTGAGTTTTCCGGACTTTATTGTCACAAAAATATCATTGCAGATTTGATCGATGTGGATTTAATGCTCTGTGGGAATGAATGGAAAAATGGAAGGATGAATGGATGGAGTTAATAATTTTGGAAGCACCAGTAAAATATTAAGGCCTGCAGTGACTAAATTACCTGCTTGCTGGACTGTAATTAAAAGTTGAGGTCTCTTCCAGCTCTATGATAAAAAGTATATAAAAATGTAACCTATAAATGTCAAGCAGAGATAAGTGACCCCCTGCTTAGGAGACAGCATTTCATGCACCACTTACCTGTTTTATTATCAACACCTTTAACTTCCACCATGACTGAATGTCCATTGTTGGTGATGTCAAGAGATGAGCAGGAGTCATAGGAAAAGCCAAGGGGCTTCAGACAGGGGTCATAAATAGCCTGCGTGGGAATGATATCTATGGGGGACTGGTGGCTGCCTTCGGCAATGGGATAAGAGTTGCACCACTCAGAAGGGCCTTTGGGGAGTAAAAGAAGAATAAGAAAGGAAAAGGATTGCACATTTACTTGTAAGTTTTAATGTGTTCGGTATTGCTAAAATGAGTTCTTTGCAATTAAACTAATATTTGAATCATGAAAAAGAAACACATTGGTAACTGATCAAAGAGAAAATCATAGAGTCCTTAAAGAATATCCACCAGCCTTTCTTTATCTCATCATTGTAGGGTGATGGGGAGGAATACACAACCCCACATATTTCCTAGGCAGTTTAAATGGTTTGGACAGTCTGTCCCCTATTCTTCCTTCTCCTCTTCCACTCCTGGCATAGAAAGTGGAAGGAAATGAACTAAACAGGTATGTACTTTGGTAAAGAAAAGCAATACATCGGATAATGTAATAGTGTTCAATCATATCTACAGATTCAGTTAGTTTGCCCCATTCAGTGATTCAGCCAGGAACATTTCCCCCACAAATATGGGCATCCTTCTGTAAAATATTTCTCACTAGACCAAGAAAGTACTTTGACTGTTCTTGATTACTTCACATTTGAAATGTACCTTCACTAAGGCTCCTTCACTATCCTATATCCCAGGATCTGATCACAGATTATCTGCTTTGAACTGGTTTATATGAGTCTACATTGCCAGATAATCTGGGATCAGACCCTGGGATATAGGTCAGTGTAGCTCCAACCTCAGTCTTGGTGACATCACTAATAACTACAGTCAGCCTTCCAAATTCATAGGAGTTAGGAAGGCAACATTCCTGAAAAAGTGAGAAAACTCTGGCAAATAATTAATTCTAGCACCCTCATACATCAAATATACAGTACAGACTCTTTCTGGTGGGATTATCTGCCTTGATATTCTAGGTTATATGGTATGTGGAAGAGCCCTCAGTGAGATGGGGAATACGAGGCAACCCTATTTATTTGAAAACTCTTAGAAAAGGCCCAGATCATGGACAAAACTCAGCAAAACTATATATTAGTATATATAGTATAGTATAGTTCATGCTTAGCAAGTGCAAAATTAACTTGTAAGAGTATCCTCCAAAGATTAAAATGCAATCTGAGCATGGCAGAAATATTATGCTTCTTTTACACAATGCTTTAAATGATGTTTCTTCATTGACCATTTAACTGTCTACATGCATACTTTGCCTGAATCCAATAGCAGGGAATCCTACAAGAAGCATTGCAAAAAAATACCTTGAACATAAAAGAGAAGAAAGTGTAAGTTTGGTATCAGAAGAAGGAAGGCATGCAAATAACTTACCATCTTTCTCCCCATATCCCCAGCAGTCATGACAGGTCATTATGCAGGTTGCTTCCTTTTGCCAGGTCTTTTAATGTTCCAGCTTAACTGCTTCTATAAAAGCTTACTTGTAGGACTGCTTCAGTTTTTTTTTAAAGAGGCAGCAGCTGCAGCAGAAATTCAGCCCTTTGAGTCTTGATTCAGTCTGCTGTGAGTCGGGTTTACACATCTATCTCCTACATAAATTATGAAAATACCACAATTTCTCCTGTCATCAATAGCCACGGATGACTCCTGACTCCCATGTCAGTAAGGCAGTTGAATCTGCACTTGAGTTTTAACTTGAACTTTGTTGTTGTTCATTCGTTCAGTTGTTTCCAACTCTTCGTGACTTTATGGACCAGTCCACGCCAGAGCTCCCTGTCGGTTGTCACCACCCCCAGCTCCTTCAAGGTCAATCCAGTCACTTTAAGGATCCATCTTACCCTTGGTCGGCCTCTCTTCCTTTTTCCTTCCTTTTTCCCCAGCATCATTGTCTTCTCTAAACTTTCCTTTCTTCTCATGATGTGGCCAAAGTACTTCATCTTGGCCTCTACTATTCTTCCCTCCAATGAGCAGTCAGGCTTTATTTCTTCAAGTATGGACTGGTTGGATCTTCTCGCTGTCCAAAGCACTCACTGAACTTTCCTACAGCACCACAGCTCAAAAGCATCTATCTTCCTTCGCTCAGCCTTCCCTATGGTCCAGCTCTCACGTCCGTAGGTTACTACGGGGAATACCATGCTTTGACTATGAGGATCTTTGTTGAACTTTAAACTTGAACTTCAAAAGTAGTTAAATCCACTCTTGACTTTTAATTTGACTTGTCCAAAGTTCAACTTGCCTCCTCAAAGGACATTCAGCACTTTGGCACATTCCTTTGAAGATTATACTAAAATCCAGAACAGATCCACCTTCTCACTTTCATGGAAATAAACAACTTTCATGGTTAAATACCCTGAATTTGTTGAAGACTTGAGGTTCAATCAATGAGGGCAATCCCTGCACCCTGATGGATTCCAGTTTTTCCTGCACACTGTGATCTATGTGTTATCTGAGGTCTACTCTTCTATTCAGTCATGCTTATCCTTGGATAAGGACAAGCAAAACGCTGGCGCTAGAAATAATATCATACGAAAACTGACTGACACATCCTGGGGATCACAACCAGACACAGTGAAAACATCTGCCCTTGCGCTATGCTACTCTGCTGCTGAGTAAGCATGCCCAGTGTGGAACACATCTCACCACGCTAAAACGGTAGATGTGGCTCTTAATGAGATATGCCAGATTATCACGGGGTGTCTGCGCCCTACACCACTGGAGGAATTACACCTGACATCCGCCGGGAAGTAGCAGCCAATAGTGAAAGGACTAAGGCAGTGACATCTCCAGCTCATCCCCTGTTTGGGCATCAGCCAGCACCTCAACGACTTAAATCAAGAAATAGTTTTCTAAGATCTACAGAGACACTTGCTGGAGCACCTCAGCAAGCGAGAGTCCAAAAGTGGCAGGCTCAAACCCAGAACCTCAACCAATGGCTGATACCAAATGAGAGACTCCCCCCTGGGCACACAGAAGACTGGGCGACTTGGAAGGCGCTCAACAGACTGCGCTCTGGCACCACTAGATGCAGAGCCAACCTTAAGAAATGGGGCCACAAAGGGGAATCCACGACATGAGAGTGTGGAAAAGAGCAAACCACTGACCACCTGCTGCAATGCAACCTGAGCCCAGCCACATGCACAATGGAGGACTTTCTTGCGGCAACACCAGAGGCATTCCAAGTGGCCAGCTACTGGTCAAAGGACATTTAATCAACTACCAATCTTACAAACTTTGTGTTTTGTCTGTTGTTTGTTTGTTAAAAAATGCAACACAACTGTTCAGTCTGCTCCTGACACACAATCTTTTTAACACTGTGTCCAGAATCTTCTTTTATTTCTTTTGCTTTCCTCAGCAGCACTCTACACTGCCATATAACCCAGAATATCAAGACAGATAATCCACATTATCTGCTTTGAACTGGATTATCCGAGTCTACACTGTCATATAATCCAATTCAATGTGGATTTTATACAGCCAGTGAATCCATTCTGATGTTAATCTGGACATGGTGCTGAAATCAAAAGCAGATAATCTGGATTTTATACACCTGTGTAGAAGGGGCCTCAAGATCAGGTGAGATTTTCCATTGCCGTGTGCTAAATACTCTCTGCTCAAGAATTCTTTCCACTCACATTTCTGAAATAGGATCTTATCTTTGTACAGAGTTTCACTCAGGTTATGCAGGATAGAGCTATAAGAAGAGTACTTGTTCATGGCATACACTGTAGAGAAGTCTAAGTAATTTCAGGCTGTGCACCTGCAGTCATATAATATCATCCGGAAAATGGATTGGTTACAGCTACAGATCAGATTCAGTTTCGCTATACTACTTTTTTCTTTTTCTAAAAAACAAAAACCCTTTAGCATATGATTACTTGGAAGTTAGAGCTGATATACAGTGAGGGTTTCTAAGTAAAGCAGCTATGTTATTTTTAATGAAAACTACCTTGGAAGAAGACAACAGAATAGGAAGGACAAGAGACCTCTTCCAGAAAATTAGAAACATTGGAGGTAAATTTCAGGCAAAAATTGGCATTATAAGAAACAAAGATGGCAGGGACCTAACAGAAGCTGAAGAGATCAAGAGAAGGTGGCAAGACTATACAGAAGATCTGCATAGGAAGGATAATAATATCGAGGATAGTTTTGATGGTGTGGTGAGTGAATTAGAACCAGACATCCTGAGGAGTGAGGTTGAATGGGCCTTAAGAAGCATTGCTAACAACAAGGCAGCAGGAGACGACGGGATCCCAGCTGAACTGTTTAAAATCTTAAAAGATGATGCTGTCAAGGTGATGCATGCCATATGCCAGCAAATATGGAAAACACAAGAATGGCCAGCAGACTGGAAAAAATCAACTTATATCCCCATACCAAAAAAGGGAAATGCGAAAGACTGCTCAAACTTCCGTACAGTGGCCCTTATTTCTCATGCCAGTAAGGTAATGCTCAAGATCCTGCAAGGAAGACTCCAGCAATACATGGAGCGAGAGTTGCCAGATGTTCAAGCTGGGTTTAGAAAAGGCAGGGGAACGAGAGACCAAATTGCCAATATCCGCTGGATAATGGAGAAAGGCAGGGAGTTTCAGAAAAACATCTACTTCTGCTTCATTGACTATTCTAAAGCCTTTGACTGTGTGGATCATAATAAATTGTGGCAATTTCTTGGTGGGATGGGCATCCCAAGCCACCTTGTCTCTCTCCTGAGGAATCTGTACAAGGACCAAGTAGCAACAGTAGGAACTGACCACGGAACAACAGACTGGTTCAAGATTGGGAAAGGCGTACGGCAGGGTTGTATACTCTCCCCCAACCTATTCAACTTGTATGCAGAACACATCATGCGATGTGCGGGGCTTGACGAATGCAAGGCTGGGGTGAAAATTGCTGGAAGAAACATTAACAACCTTAGATATGCAGATGACACCACTTTGATGGCCAAAAGCGAGGAGGAGCTGAGGAGCCTTCTAATCAAGGTGAAAGAAGAAAGCGCAAAAGCTGGGTTGCAGCTAAACATAAAAAAACCAAGATTATGGCAACAAGAATGATTGACAACTGGAAAATAGAGGGAGAAAATGTGGAGGCCGTGACAGACTTTGTATTTCTAGGTGCAAAGATTACTGCAGATGCAGACTGTGGGCAGGAAATCAGAAGACGCTTACTTCTTGGGAGGAGAGCAATGTCCAATCTCGATAAAATAGTAAAGAGTAGAGACATCAGACTGGCAACAAAGATCCGCATAGTCAAAGCCATGGTATTCCCTGTAGTAACCTACGGATGTGAGAGCTGGACCTTAGGGAAGGCTGAGCGAAGGAAGATAGATGCTTTTGAGCTGTGGTGTTGGAGGAAAGTTCTGAGAGTGCCTTGGACTGCGAGAAGATCCAACCAGTCCATCCTCCAGGAAATAAAGCCCGACTGCTCATTGGAGGGAAGGATACTAGAGACAAAGTTGAAGTACTTTGGCCACATCATGCGGAGACAGCAAAGCCTAGAGAAGACAATATGCTGGGGAAAATGGAAGGTAAAAGGAAAAGGGGCCGACCAAGGGCAAGATGGATGGATGGCATCCTTGAAGTGACTGGACTGACCTTGAAGGAGCTGGGGGTGGTGACGGCCGACAGGGAGCTCTGGCGTGGGCTGGTCCATGAGGTCACGAAGAGTCGGAAGCGACTGAACGAATGAACAACATGCCGCCCTTCTCACCCCAAAGGGGACTCAGAGCGGCTTACAATATATATTTTCATACAATATATTATATTATTAGCATAGTACAATATCAGTATTATATATTACTATATTGCACTATACCATTATATTGTAATATTATTAGTAATATTACATGTAATGTAAATATATAATTATAATCTTGAATTATTATTACTAGTATTATATTGTACTACATTATAGTATTATAAATATTATATGTATATACAATATACTATATTATATTATTATTATATTATTGGCAGGGGGTTGGACTGGATGGCCCATGAGGTCTCTTCCAACTCTTTGATTCTATGATTCTATGACATGGCTTGTGGATTTGATGACTGGCTTTGCAGCAGGCCTAGGCAATCCTGGGCCCTCCAGGTGGTTTGGACTTCAATTCCTACCATTCCTAACAGCCTCAGTCCCTTTCCTTTTCAGCGGCTGAGGGGGGAAAGGAAGGAACCTGAGGATGTTAGGAATGGTGGGAGTTGAAGTCCAAAACACTTGGAGGGACCAAGTTCGCCCAGGCCTGCTTTAAAACATCCTTTGACCTTTCCCCAGCCGAGCGAGGCCAGTGCGCAGGCGCACCCCATGCCCCGCCCCTTCGCGGAGGAGGCCCCGCCCCCAGAGCCGGCAAGATGGCGGCGGCGCAGACTACACAGTCGGTCAAGATCAGCCTGAAGGAGCAGCGTTATGACCGGCAGC